GGAGTGGCTGGTGGGTTTGAACCACCAGTCTTCTGGTTAGCAGTCAAATGCCTTAGGCACTACGCTACCAGAGCTCCCTCCCCCCTGCATAGACATACCTAATTGTTCAGTCTGCCCACCCATATATCAATGTTTGCCATCACTGACAACATAGCACTGTATTTGCAGAAGGGTTCATCTTTGTTGTCTGTACCTCCCATGCATCTCTCTATATCATCTTCTTCCTCAGTCCCACCATGTTGGTCACTCACATTTGGTACACTGTCCTCCCAATAAAGGAGCATCTTAAGGTTGTAAGAGTTGGATCAGAAGGCAGGTTGACAGGGAAGAACTATAACCCACTCTTTATCTTCACTGTTGATACTCCCCCTCGGGAATCCCCACCTACACCCCTCAGCCTGTGGTTGTCTTGGTCCTCCAGCTCCCTCTGTTCTCCTAGATTGTCTATAACCTGCTGTCTCTGCGCTTCAACTCACGGATCCGTGTGAAGACCTATGCAGATGAGCTGACGCCCATTGAGTCTGCCTTCTCTGTGTACAAGGCAGCCAACTGGTATGAGAGGGAGGTGAGTTACTGAGCATGGTGGACCTGCCTCTGGACCAGACTTGGGGAACTAGCTGAAATGACTAGATGCCTGAAAGCCTTTCTTTTCTAGATCTGGGACATGTTTGGAGTCTTCTTTGCTAACCACCCGGACCTAAGAAGGATCCTGACAGACTATGGCTTTGAGGGACATCCCTTCCGGAAAGACTTCCCCCTGTCTGGCTATGTTGAGGTAGGAGCCTTGGAAATGGGGCAGCAACCTCAGGAAGGGACTAAAGGAGCTGGGAGGACCCTGGGCATGGCAGGAAATGTGGTCTATGAATTGTGATGTTTTAAGAGCATGTCTTCTGGATCAAATCCTGGCTTCACTATTATAATCTGGGGCAAGTTATTTAATTTTTCCTCATCTATAAAATGAGACTACTACTACTATCTATCTAATAGATTTGTGGTGAGTATTAAATGTATTTGTAAGGCCTTATGTATTGTATGTGCTCAATTGATGCTAGTCACTACTGTGATGGTCAATACAGCCTTGAGGACACACTTAAATCTCTCCCCAAGGCCTGAAAGTGGAGGATCCATGCCCTGAATCCCTGGGAAGGGAGCTGACAGGGAAGACACTAAATGCTTAGCCCTAGAGAATGGCCCCTGAGCAGGACCCAGGGCGCTTATAAAGAATTGGAGAGGTTTACTTTGCCATCTGTGTGCTTCAGGTTTTTTGTGAGCAGGAAGATGGTCTGTTGTTTACACACATGAATTTTCTAGCAAAGTAACTTCTTAGAAATGCTCAGATGTGTGGCGGTCCAGCCCTGCTCCTTCAGCACCCAAATGCTCTTTTCTCAGTACTTTGCATGCTTCCCAATTCTCTTGAGCCCCTCCCCTCCTCCTCCTTTCATTCACCCCTGTTGGCTTCATTTGTCTGGTTTGCCTCCTCACCCAGCACCTGATTGTCCCTACCTCATCCAGCTGATCCTCCAGTGAAGAAAAGCCATGCCAGATTTACTCAGTCCTTGGAGCTTCACAGTGGTGATGCCAAGGCCACAAGTCCTGAACTTGTTTACTTGTCTGAAAAGGTTACTCTTTTCAGCTACTGACTGCACCCCTAATCCTGGGTAGATGCTTGCCATTATCTTATGAGAGCGTGTGGATGGATCAGCAGGAGTCAGCTCAGATCTCATGACACAGTGATAGTGGGCAGGGATCCTGACACATGGCAGGGTGTGCCTTTTTGGAATCCCACAGCACTTGCTAGCTGGGAGGTGACTTGCTGGGCAGCAAGCTGTGGTTGGAGACTTATCAAGCCTGGGACAGGAGTCAAGGACAAGGAGGAAAGGCAGAGGTCTAGGGCAGTCACTTGGGGTCTTGTGAGATTGGGCGCCTTAGTGGCTGTAACCAGGCCTTACCAGTGCTCAAGCCTGCCTTCTCTTCCTGAAGCTTCGCTATGACGATGAGGTGAAGCGGGTGGTGGCCGAGCCAGTGGAGTTGGCCCAAGAGTTCCGCAAGTTTGACCTGAACAGCCCCTGGGAGGCTTTCCCTGCCTATCGCCAGCCCCCTGAGAGTCTCAAGCTTGAGGCCGGAGACAAAAAACCTGAAGCCAAGTAGCTCCAGGGAAGGCATGTGGATCGTCAGAAATGCCTTGTCTGTAACTGAGTGTCCGTGTAAATAAAATCCTTCATAAACTCACCACATCTTGTGTGTGTGTGTGTATGTGTGTATAATGAGTAGAAGTGATGCTTTGGGTCAGCAGAGGAGAGATGCTGGCAGCGGTTCTTCCTGCCCCTTAGAGGTGGGGAGTCTGTCTTAATGGCACTACACAGTACACTTGTATTCATGATGGCCTGTAGGCATTTCATAGAGGAAGCCTGGAGCTATCACAGAAAGTTCTCACAATCTACAGGGCTCAGGCTGGTGTGGCACAGCCTCTCCTGAGCACTGGCAGGACCTCCACAACTGCTGGATAAAGCCCCTTGTCACAGCACACTGGTGGCAGGTGATGATCCAGGGGCCTGAGTGGAACCAGCAAAATCCCACCCACCCTCATCCCATCCAGGCATCCACAGGGCTCTGTGATCCACAGCCAGGAAGAGCCTCCGCTCATGTTCACTGCTGACCTTGTGTCCTGCTCCCAGCAGCCTGATAATTCATCATGCCTGGGCTGAGAATGTTGTTCACAAGAAAGGTGATCCAGGCTGGGGCAAAAACACTTAAGAGCTGCAGACTGTCTGCCAGAGAACACTATCCCCCATCCTAACTGGCCTAGGATCTGACCAGCCCACCATGGAATTGGAGGACTGGACTGTGCAGCTGATGCTCTTGGCTGTCTGAGGGGCTCCCTGGAGGCTGGGCTGGACTGGGTTGGGTGTTTGGGGCTGGCCTCAGTTGCAGGATGTTTTGGGAGTGAGGACAGATACTAAGGTAGTGTTACTGCTTGGGCTCTTAACCGACCTCTTGGGAGGGCCAGGCTAAGCTGTTTGCTACCAAGCACCTTTTTTCTATTAGCACTGAGCCTGTCTGGGCAGAAGCAGGCTGAGGGCTTGACAAGAAAAGCCAGGCTCCTGCTGCCAACAACCCAAAATTCCCCATTTCTAAGGGATGGAAAAAGCCCCTGGGAGGCCACTGAGGCCACGGCCAGCCCCTCCCTGTTCCGCATTGAAGGCCTGACACACACAGCTAGGACCGGCTGAACTGCCTACAGTGGAAAGTTGGAGCCCTGAGTGGCAGGCGGATAGGAGAGCAGAGAGCTGCTGCGGAGAGTGAGACTCGGTGGACGTGGCGGGGCATGGCGGGCAGGCTGCAGTTCCCGATATGGCCAGGCCTGGCTATTTGCCTTCTCCTTGGGGTGGATGGAACCTGGCCCCAGACAGGTATGGAGACTTCAGGTGGGGTGCATGGGAGCCAAAGAAATCTGCTGGCAGTTACAGCTGACCCTGAGCACAGCAGGGTGTAGGAACTGCAGGCATGGTGGGTAATAGGCTGACTACCAGGGGTGCGAGGGTAATGCTGTGGGCCCATCCCCAGAATGCAGAAGGTCCAGGTGCAGCCAAGGAAAGCAGTAGTGGTCACATAGATTATAGGAAAAGGGTGGGAGGTGAAGAGTCTCGTGACCTGTTGGCCTGGAACTCTTTTTTTTAATTGTGATTTGGGTGTGGCCTGGAACTCTTGACCAAGGGCCTTGTGGGAGCCAAAAGAGGAGTCTCGGGCACTTGCCGTGGTGGTGCTGGGTTGAACGCTGATGTATGGGTGTGTGTGCGCACGTGTGCGCGTGCATGGTGCATGGGGGGGCGCACAGAGGAATGGTATTTCTGTCCTTCTATAGATTGTTCTTCTATAGAAACATGACCCCCACCTGGCAGCTGAGGGGCACCCCTGGGAGGCTGGGGTGTTCAGGATGGACCATGGCAGAGACCTGACTTCTCTCTGCCGCTCCAGGGCAGCCTTTGGACAACAACAGCATGGAAGGTGGCCTGCAGGAGCCAGAGGCCTTGGAAGTGATGTTTGAGGTCTTTCCTCCCCATCTGGGACATGGGGTGGGAGTGTCCAGAGGTCCCTAAGCTCAGGCTTGTGAAGGGCATGTCTCAGGGTGAGCCTGCTGGGGGAGGGGGCCAACCCAGCATGGGTCCTACTGCTTGCTTATCAAGCCCCTTCCACTCTTGCCCCCTGTCCTGCTCCCCAGGCCCCAGCCCATGCCTGATGTGGCTCCTCTTGCAGCTACTCTGGGCCGGGCTGGAGCTGGATGTCATGGGGCAACTGCAAATTCAGGATGAGGAGCTGGCATCTACCCGTCCAGGCCGCCGACTCCGACTCCTCCTGCAGCACCGTGTGCCCAGGGATGTGGAGGGTACTGAGCAGCGGCTGCGGCAGTTCCAACACTTGCGCAAGGGACCTCCTCTTAGTCCTTTGGAGTTTGAACAGCTGGTCCTCACAGGCCTGTCCTGCATCTACCGGCTCCACGCAGCCGCTGAGGCTGAGGAGCGGGGTCGCTGGGCCCACGTCTTTGCCCTCCTGGCACAGGAAACACTCTGGGACTTGTGCAAGGGTTTCTGCCCCCAGGACCAGCCACCCCCACTGGGGCCCTGGGCCTGGACCCTTGACCCTTTCCCCTGATCCTCCCCTTCTACTTGCCATTGTCCCTTGCCCCCAGGACTCCCTCTGAGCCAGACTCACCCAGGGCAGACAATTCCATCTGACACCTGCTGCTTCTAAGTTCCAGTCTCTGGGCTTGGCTTGCACGCTGGATCTCCACCTACTCCCAGTCCCACACAGCACCTTCTCTGGACCCCGCTTGGCTGACAACCAGGGCTCTGGGTCCTAGGCAATAGGTTCAAAACTGAGGGTGGGACTTGCAGGCAGTATATAGGTATGTGTGTTGGGATCAGGAGTCAGGGTTGGAAGTGTGTTCCAGAGATGCTGAAAGGGTAGCTGTCCCCACACAAAGATCCAGATAAGCCCCTCTACCTTCTACCTAGCAGGTGGTGAGCAGTCTTGCAGAATCTGCAGGAATCTTCTAAGAGCTCAGCACCCAGTCCTCATTCGGACGTCCCTTTAGTGCCCAACCAAAACTCTAGGGTCCCTGAACCTCCAAGTTTCCCATTTGGGCTAGAATAGCCTGGACTTTCCAAGTCCTATCTATTGGAGGAGTGGAGGGAGGCAGATGAAGGTACACTGTCTCTTGGGGGTGAAAAATGTCTTTTGGTTGTTTGGTCCAACTCAATAAGGCTTAGAGAACTGAGGGTGGTAGTGGTGGTGGGAGACCAAGAGACAGGCTGATGCGGGCTGGGGGTAGGTGCAGCCTTTCCCATGTGTAGCTCTTCCCATAAAATGCTCTGTTCTGGCTTCCTGGAGCGTTGTCCTTCCTATCAGATGCTATCACCTGCCCTGAGCAAATCACCATCCCATCCTGGGAGAGCAGGAGTCAGGACATGTGGGGATCACTTCCTCTCCCCATCCCAGGCCCTCTGGAAGGTGAAAGAATGCGTTGTTTCCTTGAATCCCACACCCTCAGTGCAGTGGGGTTTCTGGCTCTAAGAAAGAGATCAGTAGGTCAAATGGGGAGGAGTCAGACCCACAGGAGGGTGAGCAAGCAGGGGGTCAGACAGAACTGGCTGGAAATGGGTTAGGCCTGCAGGGCTTAAATTCCCACCTCTTCGTACTCCCAGGTCTCGACCGACTCCTGCCCTCTGCCCCCACCGCGGGCCGGCGGGAGTCAGTGCTGCCTCACCCCGGCCCGGAAGCGGCGCAGTCACGACAGAGAACAGGACTCTCAGGAAACAGGCGCCGGCGCAGGCCCACTTTATTGGCTGAGTCCAGCGGCGCTAGGCAGGCCGTCATGCACGCGCCGGCGGGGAGTTCGGGCCCGGGCTCAGCATGCAAGCCCGCTGGCCGCTCTAGGCTCCTCTCCGCCTGGGGCTCAGAGCTCCGGGAGCCCGAAACCCGGCGGGTGGGCAGCGGCTGCAGGGTCGGGGTCGGGGTAAACCAGGAAGCCGGAGAAGGTGATGTACTTGCCGTGGTTGCTGTAGGCGCCGTAGCCGTCGTGGTCGTGGCTGAGCAGCCAGACCACGTCGCCGCGCTGCAGCGCCAGCATCACGCTCTGGCTCTGCATCTCGCGGCGCCGCGATGCGCCATCGTCGTAAATCATGGCCTGCACCTCGTCGCGGTTCTTCATCAGCTTCACCGACAGCGTCTTGCGCGGCAGCTTGCCCAGCGTGAAGGAGAAGAAGTAGGCGCCGGGCAGACGACAGCGGAACACGCCAGCCGCTGCGTCGAAGTCGCCGCCGATGTTGACTAGCTCGGTGTCGAAGGCTAGCGGCCTGTGCCGCGGCCCGGGACCAACGTCCGAGCCCACGAGGCTGCGCGTGCGCGCCGCCGAGAAGGCCGAGCGCGGCTCGGGGGATGCGGGAGTGCCGCGCGCAGGCGCGTCGGCGTCGGCGTACACCAGGTAGCCGCTGAAGGTGGCGCCCGGAGCGCCGAGCGCATACTGCGGCGCACCGTGCAGCCGCAACCACACGGTGTCGCCGTAGTCGAGCTGCAGCATGGCGCTTTGGCTGGCGGCGCGCCGCGCGCCCGGCCGCCGCTGTTCGTCGAAGGCCAGTGCTTGCACCTCGTCCCGGTTGCGCACCAGCATCACCGACAGGCTCTTGTGCGGGGCCTTGCCCGCGGTGAAGGAGAAAAAGTAGGCGCCCGGAACACGGCAACGGAACTGGCCCGTGGCCGCGTCGAAATCGCCGCCGATGTTCACGTACACCTTGTCAAAGGTCACAGCCATCTCCGACGTGCCCTCCAAGGGACTGGTGCGCGCCGCGGAGAAGGCTGAGCGCAGCTCCAGTGAGCCTGGGGCTGGACCCAGAGCCCAGCAGGCGGCTTGGCCCAGCAGGCTCAGCAAGAACAGCAACATGGCGTCTGGGAGGGGAGGCAGAGGGGCCGGGAGAGAAGAGTTGAGGCCGTCAAGGTTGGGAATAATGAGTTCTCTTCCCAGCTCTGCCCGTGACTCACTCCCACTTTTTCCAACACACTTGGTTCTCAAACTTCAGTGTGCCTCAGAGTGACCCTGAGGGGTTGTTAAAACCCACTTTGTTGCTGCCTGCTACCAGATTTTCCATTCAGTAGGCCTGGGGTGGGAACTAAGAGTTTGCATTACTTCTAAATTCCTGGATGCCAAATGATGCTATTGCTGCTAGTCTGGGGACCACACTTTGAGAACCACAGGATTAAGCCAGTGATTCTTCAATTTTTTTTTTTTTTCAATGAGCATTAGACTCCCAAGTCGGTTACAAGCAGAAATGTTGTGGTTGAAGAGATCTACAGTCCTGTCTGCTGGGCTCACCCTTTTATCTCCTCTTTGGCATCCAGGGGCCTAAGAACACATGGGTGTTGGGGGTGGGGATCTCTAAGTTTCCCTCCACCTCCATCTTGTGGCCTTTTCCTTTGGCTGTAATTTGGCCTGCCCCTCAGACACTAGCTTTCTGTCTCAATATCCTCCATGATGGCCACTATTTAAGTTGCCACCTGGGCAGGAAAGGGGATAGCTACTCCCTGACCCTCTCCGGGCCTCTGACTCATCCAAGGGTCAGCTCCCACCCAGCTCCCTAGAGATTCCCCCTGCGGTGAGTAGGCCAGAACAGTTGGTCTTTGAGGTTGCACCCCCCTTCTAGTGAAATCAGAGGAAAAGAGAATGCAACTCCTTCCTTTCTACTTGGAGGCTGGAGAGGGCAGGGAGAACCGGGAGTGCTAAGGATGGAGGCGGAGAGCAACAACTCCAGCAGGGTTTTGGCAAAATTGTGGATCAGTGATTTTGTTCCTCAGGGGTGGTGGAGTAGAGAAGACACATAGGCCTGGGCTTTTGTTCCCGACTCCACCACTTACATCTGTGAAACCTTGGGTAAGTTCCTTAGCTTCTCTAGGCCATGGCTTCCTTTGTGTCAGTGGGGGGGAGGGGGGGAGTCCTGCCCTACAAGCTTGCTGGGAGGAATCCCTGAGATAGGAGGTGTGGACGTGGTTCGTGAACAACAGTGCTGCCCAGGTGTGTGGTTGCTTCCATTCTGGGCCCTGACACAAGTGATCTGAAGAAAGTTCCTGACATAGGAGGTTACAGACTTAGTAGCTTCTACCCAAGGAGTCACTCTCCAATGGTGGCATTCACAGCTTCCTGGTTCCCAGTAGGGCATAGGCTTTGGGGCTTGGATACCGAAAGGCCCTGAAGTGAAGACAGCCTGGACTATAGGCTTCCATAGGAAAGACTCTGGGGTGAGGCTCTGTGTTTATCAGGGACATTGGGGCCTGCTGAGAAGGTTGCCAGGTGTAGCTGTGCCCTGAGGGAAGGTGAGAGCTAGAATCTAGCCCACATTCTACTTGCTCAGCTGTGTGGACCTGCAGCCCCTGGAAGAAAGTGTACCTTTTTCAAATTCTCCTGGAGATCCGCAAGTGCTAGCCAAGCTGAACACTCCATCCAGAATAGATCCCTATAGGTTAGCCCTTCCATTTGGTGAAGGCAGGGATGGGGCCATCAGCAGGGGTGAAGGTTGCACCTCAAGAGTGGCTAGTGCATTCCCTTTTACTAAACTCTTTGGAACACATCTGATCTCCCAAGAAACCTGCAAGGTAGGCAGGTCCTTTCCAGTTTTGTAGATAAAAAACCCAAGCTGCACCCACTGCCATCAAGTTAATTCAGATTCATAGTGACCCTATACACCAAAAAGAACCCCACCAAACTCTGCCATCAAGTCGATAGCGACCCCCATTGGATTTCTGAGGCTGTAAATCCTTATGGAAGTAGATCGCCCCATCTTCCTTCTGTGGAGCAGCTGGTGGGTTTGAACCACCAACCTTCTGCTTAGCAGTCAAATGCCTTAGGCAGATGCCACCAGAGCTCATTTAGTGACCCCATAGGACAGAGTATAACTGCCCTGTAGGGTTCCCAAGGCTGTAAATCCTTACGTTAGCAAACTGCCCTATCTTTTACCCATAGAGCGGCTGGTGGGTTGGAACCGCTCACCTTTGTTAGCAGCCCAATGCTTTAACAACAGCTCCACCAGAGTGCCTGTACAAAGCTGAGGCCCAAATGGGAAACGCCCCCCAACCCCCTTCAACACTGAAGCAAGCCTTTAACTCCAAATCTAGTGTGCCTTCCCCTCTCCCACTACACGTGACTCCTAGACACAGGAATCTCCAGCCAATGTACCCCTGCCTCAGTTTTCCCTTTTGCAGAACCGAAGAGGAGACAAATAGAATGAATCTTAGAATCCAGGGTGAAAGGAAAAGAAAGCAAAAAACGACTCAATTCTTGACCCAGCTGCTTTCCTAGCAGGGTCTGCCTGGGGAGCTCCTGCCCACTCCAGCCCTGCCTGCCTCTCTGACAAGTCTGGTGCACCCCGCCGGGTGCCAGAGGTTCATCCTCTGTGCCCAGTACCCAGCCTGTGTCACCCGCCGCTGCCCATTTCCCGGACCCCTGGATCACCATCCTTCCCTGAACCCCCTTCCCTGAGCAGGTCTGAGGTGGGAGAGAGTCAGGTGGGCGTCATAGCTCCAGGGAAGGAAATGGCTGTTCTGAGCTCTGTCCAGGTGGGGCTCAAAATAATCATCTTCAAAGAGAGAAAACTGGGACACAGAGC